GCGTCAGACAGTTGTTTGGGAAAATGAGGCTGTGTCACGGCTCTTCTCTTTGGGCTCGGAGCGACGGAGAGCTGGAGTCAGGTGGATGAGAGGTTACCGTGGCAACAGCAGCAGACAGTGCGTGATGGAGAAGACGAGAGAGACGAGAGGATGAGAGAGGAAAGAGAGGATGAGAGAGACGAGTGGAGAGAGGATGAGAGAGGGATAGAGAGAGAAAGAGATAAGAGGTGAAGAGAGAGAGAAAGAGATAAAAGACTGAGAGAAGAGAGAGAGAGAGGATCACAGAGAGAGAGAGAGAGAGAGAGTGAAAGACGAGAGGAAAAGAAAAAAGGAGATGAGGAAGGACAGAAGGAGAAAGAGAGAGAGCAACTGTGTGTTTCTAAAGGATCAGATTTATACAGAGACTTCAGACCTGGTTTAGACCTGATTTAGACCCGGTTTAGACCAGATTTAGACCCGGTTTAGACCTGATTTAGACCCAGTTTAGACCAGATTTAGACCCGGTTTAGACCTGATTTAGACCCGGTTTAGACCTGATTTAGACCCGGTTTAGACCAGGTTTAGACCAGGTTCACACCAGGTTTACACCAGGTTTAGACCATGTTTAGATCTGGTTTAGACCAGGTTTTGACCCGATTTAGACCAGGTTTAGACCCAGTTTAGACCAGGTTTAGACCCAATTTAGACCAGGTTTACACCAGGTTTAGAATAAATTTTAACCAGGTTTAGACCCAGGTTAGACCAGGTTTAGACCCAATTTAGACCAGATTTAGACCAGGTTTACACCAGGTTTAGAATAAATTTAAACCAGGTTTAGACCCAGTTTAGACCAGGTTTAGACCCAGTTTAGACCAGATTTAGACCGTGTTTCCACCAGGTTTTTAATAAATTTAGACCAGGTTTCGGCCCAGTTTAGACCAGGTTTAGACCAGGTTTAGACCCAGTTTAGACCCAGTGAAGACCAGGTTTAGACCAGGTTTAGACCAGGTTTAGACCCAGTTTAGACCCAGTTTAGACCCAGTTTAGACCAGATTTAGACCATGTTTACACCAGGTTTAGAATAAATTTAGACCAGGTTTAGACCCAGTTTAGACCAGGTTTAGACCAAATTTATAGCTGGTTTAGACTAGGGTTAGACCTGGTTTAGACCAGGTTGAGACCAAGTTTAGACATGATTTAGACCAGATTTAGACCAGGGTTAAACCAGGTTTAGACCAGGCGTAGACCTGGTGTAGACCCGGATTAAACCCGGTTTAGACCAGGGTTAAACCAGGTTTAGACCAGGTGTAGACCTGGTGTAGACCTGGATTAAACCCAGTTTAGACTAGGGTTAAACCTGGTTTAGACTAGGGTTAGACCTGGTTTAGACCGGGTTTAGACCTGGTTTGGACCAGGTTGAGACCAAGTTTAGACTCAGTTTAGACCCATTCAGTGGGCGCCTTCTAAAACAGATGACACTTTATAGTTCTCAATGAAATCTAACAAAAATATGTCAAAACAGTAAAAATACTGATTCAACTAAACACACACGTGAGAACACAAGTCCTGGTTTAGTCCCGGTTTAGTCCTGGTCCAGTCCTGGTCTAGTTCTGTGCATTTGGCTGAGTTGTGGAGAGTGAACGCAGCTTTAGAGAGACACAGGGGGAAGGGCATCTGATTTAAAAACAAGGAGAAGCCAAGCAACCAATGAGCAAGCAGAGGGACAGGGGTAACGGGGCGGTAACGGGGGCGTGGTTAGGTGTAAAGGGGCGGAGTTAGGGGGTAAAAGGGGGCGGGTCTTTGGTTGCAGAGTCACAGTCTCCAATGATCACTTTTGTGACTATGCAACTGGGCTCATATTACGAGCTGCAACATCACAAAAATGACACTGGAAACTGCTATTGAGCTGGTAAAACGGAGAGAGGAGGAGGAGAGAGGAGGAGGAGAGAGGAGGAGAGAGGAGGAAGAGAGAGGAGGAAGAGGAGGAGAAGGAAAGTGGGAGAGGAAGGAGAGAGAAAGGGAGCTCCACAAAAATATAGAAAACGAGGGTAAGAGAGAGAAGAGAGTAAACACGAGGAAAGAAAGAAAGAAAGAAAGAGGGAGAGGGTCGTGGTCAGGGCTGGGGTGAGAGGTCAGTCAGCAGAGGGAGAGAGCGAGGGAGGAAAAAAAAAAAAGACAGAAAATGTGTCTGAGTGAAACCGAGATTTACGGAGAAGGTCTGAGAAACGACGTCCGCACCAAAACATCACCTCTAAACTCCAAACCTCGTGTTTCTATCTTCATCACATTCGCTCCAATACACGCGTCGTTACGGAAGCCGGGAGGGGCCGCGACGAACGCAAACGCGACGACACGACGAAAAGCCACAACACATCCAAAAAAAAAAAGCCACAACACACCAAAAAAAGCCACAACGGAAATGACCGCGGGACTCTATTTCAATGCAAACGCCGCAACAAATACAAACACCACAACACAAACGCAAATGCCGCAAACACATGAAAAAGCCACAACAAATTAAAAAGCCACAACAGAAGTGACCGCTGGACTCAATTTTCCGACGGACCGATCAAGCGGCAAGTGAAGAAGAAGAACTACAACGTGAAACGAATAATGATAAAACAATAAATTACTTTTCTTACGTTCCCAACTTCTCCGTTCCTTTACTTTTCACGTTGTAGTTCTTCTTCTTCACTTGCCGCTTGATCGGTCCGTCGGAAAATTGAGTCCAGCGATCACTTTCCGTTGTGGCTTTTTAATGTGTTGTGGCTTTTTAAATGTGTTGTGGCATTTTATTTGTGTTGTGGCGTTTGTATTTGTTGCAGCGTTTGCATTAAAATAGAGTCCCGCGGTCATTTCCGTTGTGGCTTTTTTTGGTGTGTTGTGGCATTTGTATTTGTTGTGGCGTTTGCGTTTGTTGTGACCCCTCTCGGCTTCCGTACATCATGAATTTCAGACTTCCGGTCATCGTGTAGTGCAAACTGGGAAGGATTTTCTGAAAAAGTGATCATCAAACCTCCATGTTTGTTTTCCCAGTGGGACGTGTCTAGTGTCAAAGTCGATCTTTTCAAGTCTTTTGAACCATATCACTTTTGTTTCCTGTTCTGATATTGTCATATTTTAGTTTTGGGATTTGGACATCGTTAATTGTTGTGGTTGTTGGATCCTAACAGCGGAAAACAGCTCGAGAAATGTGTTTGTGAACTTCATAAATGTAAAAGTGAATCAGATGTGTGTGACTCAAACCTCTGTTCAAACTGTTTCTCTTCTCAACGGAATTGAAAAATAGTGAAAGGTGAAGGTGATGGGCAGGATTGATCCACAGGAAGAACCAAAAAGGAAACATTTGTCTGACTAAGAAATCATCCCGAGTTTACAGAGAACATTTTGTATGTGGAGCCACGACAAAACAAAATCCCGATCCTTCGCTTAACCTCGGTTACGAATTTAAAAAGTCGACAGGCCAAAGTGAAAGTCTCCAACTGTTCACCAAGAAACACCTTCCACTGCAAAGAGACCAAGACGTGATGTTTGTGTAAAACCACAAGAACAAGAAAGTGCAGCTCAGTCTGTTTGTCTTCTGCTCCTCTACATTAACAAACCGGATTTTGTTTTGTCGTCGCTCCACATACAAAATGTTCTCTGTAAACTCAGGATGATTTCTTAGTCAGACAAATGTTTCCTTTTTGGTTCTTCCTGTGGATCAATCCTGCCCATCACCTTCACCTTTCACTATTTTTCAATTCTGTTGGGAAGACCACGTTAGACCTGGTTTAGACCTGGCTTTGATCTGGTTTAGACCAGGTTTAGATTAGATTTCGACCAGGTTTAGAGGAAATGTAGACCAGTTTTAGACCAAATTTAGACCCGGTTTAGACCAGTGTTAGACCTAGTTTAGACCAGATTGAGAAAAGGTTGAGACATGGTTTAGAGCAGATTTAGAACAAGTTTAGACCTGGTTTAGACCAAGTTTAGACCAGGTTGAGACCAAGTTTAGACCAGGTTGAGACCAAGTTTAGACCGGGTTGAGACCAAGTTTAGACCAGGTTGAGACCAAGTTTAGACCAGGTTGAGACCAAGTTTAGACCTGGTTTAGACCAAGTTTAGACCACGTTTAGACCAAGTTCAGACCTGGTTTAGACCAAGTTTAGACCTGGTTTAGACCAAGTTTAGACCTGGTTTAGACCAAGTTTAGACAAAGTTTAGACCTGGTTTAGACAAGTTTAGACCAGGTTGAGACCAAGTTTAGACCAGGTTGAGACCAAGTTTAGACCTGGTTTAGACCAAGTTTAGACCAGGTTGAGACCAAGTTTAGACCTGGTTTAGACCAAGTTTAGACCACGTTTAGACCAAGTTCAGACCTGGTTTAGACCAAGTTTAGACCTGGTTTAGACCAAGTTTAGACCTGGTTTAGACCAAGTTTAGACAAAGTTTAGACCTGGTTTAGACCAAGTTTAAACCAGGTTGAGACCAAGTTTGGACCTGGTTTAGACCAAGTTTAGACCTGGTTTAGCCTGGTCTAAACTTGGCTCGTCTTTCCTGTGGATCAGTCCTGTCCTTTCACAATTTTTCAACAGCGGAAAACGGCTCGAGATTTGGGCTTCAGAAGTTTGTGAAATACAGAAGTGACTCAGATGTGTGTGACTCAAACCTCCGTTCAAACTGGGAAAACAAAAACATGGAGGTTTGATGTTCATTTTGTCGGAGGATTCTTCCCACTACGACCTGCACGATGACCGGAAGTCCGAGATTCGTGATGCTTGTATTTCAGTGCGTTATTGTTCCTCAAACTGACCACGGACACAAACACACAAACAGCAGGGGAGGGGCGGGTGCGTTGCTTAAGGACACAACAACAGGACAGTTGGAGGGACTCAGGGATTTTTCTGAAGACGCAGGAGCCCAAAAGTGTCAACAAGGAAATTCCACGTAAAAAGAACTAAAGCTCCTCCCACACTGGTTAAACCGTTGGGAGAGTCAGAATAACTCTGTCGGAGAGTAAAAGTGAGACTGTTGTTCACCTGCGGAAGTCGAGCAGAGTGCGGCTGTTGTCCGGTGCCCCCGAGCTCAGCCAGGTGAGGAAGTGGAACTGTGTGACGGTGCGAGTTTCGTTGGTTTGCATGTTCTTCAGGTAGAAGCTCCGGACCAGGAAGTCATCGCACCAGATGTGCTCGGACACCAGGTTCACCTGAGGAGGACACGAGGAGTTTAACGTCTGTGGATGTGATTATCATTAAAGCCCTTTTGTTGACAGGTGCTGGTCCTGCCCCAGGGCGGCTGTGGCTACAGGCACTGAGTGAATAACACATGAATAATACAAACGTGACTCTGTCCAGAGTCTGTGGCCCTCACTCGTCCAGCTTCTTGTGTGTGAACAGGCTGTAGGTGTGAACAGCTTGTAAGTGTGAACAGGTTGTAGGTGTGAACAGGTTGTAGGTGTGAACAGGTTGTAGGTGTGAACAGGTTGTAGGTGTGGTTGTAGGTGTGAACAGGTTGTAGGTGTGAACAGGTTGTAGGTGTGAACAGGTTGTAGGAGTGAACAGGTTGTAGGTGTGAACAGGTTGTAGGTGTGGTTGTAGGTGTGAACAGGTTGTAGGTGTGGTACAGGTTGTAGGTGTGAACAGGTTGTAGGTGTGGTACAGGTTGTAGGTGTGAACAGGTTGTAGGTGTGAACAGGTTGTAGGTGTGAACAGGTTGTAGGTGTGAACAGGCTGTAGGTGTGAACAGGTTGTAGATGTGGTTGTAGGTGTGAACGGGTTGTAGGTGTGAACAGGTTGTAGATGTGGTACAGGTTGTAGGTGTGAACAGGTTGTAGGTGTGAACAGGTTGTAGGTGTGAACAGGTTGTAGGTGTGAACAGGTTGTAGGTGTGAACAGGTTGTAGGTGTGGTTGTAGGTGTGTGTACAGGTTGTAGGTGTGAACAGGTTGTAGGTGTGTACAGGTTGTAGGTGTGAACAGGTTGTAGGTGTGGTACAGGTTGTAGGTGTGAACAGGTTGTAGGTGTGGTACAGGTTGTAGGTGTGAACAGGTTGTAGGTGTGAACAGGTTGTAGGTGTGAACAGGTTGTAGGTGTGAACAGGTTGTAGGTGTGAACAGGTTGTAGGTGTGAACAGGTTGTAGGTGTGAACAGGCTGTAGGTGTGAACAGGTTGTAGGTGTGAACAGGTTGTAGGTGTGATCACCTCGTAGATGTGGTACAGGTTGTAGGTGTGAACAGGTTGTAGGTGTGAACAGGTTGTAGATGTGGTACAGGTTGTAGGTGTGAACAGGTTGTAGGTGTGATCACCTCGTAGATGTGGTACAGGTTGTAGGTGTTAACAGGTTGTAGGTGTGAACAGGTTGTAGGTGTGAACAGGTTGTAGGTGTGAACAGGCTGTAGGTGTGATCACCTCGTAGATGTGGTACAGGTTGTAGGTGTTGAACAGGTTGTAGGTGTGAACAGGTTGTAGGTGTGAACAGGTTGTAGGTGTGAACAGGTTGTAGGTGTGATCACCTCGTAGATGTGGTACAGGTTGTAGGTGTTAACAGGTTGTAGGTGTGAACAGGTTGTAGGTGTTAACAGGTTGTAGGTGTGAACAGGTTGTAGGTGTGAACAGGTGTAGGTGTGGTACAGGTTGTAGGTGTAACAGGTTGTAGGTGTTAACAGGTTGTAGGTGTGAACAGGTTGTAGGTGTGGTAACAGGTTGTAGGTGTTAACAGGTTGTAGGTGTGAACAGGTTGTAGGTGTGAACAGGCTGTAGGTGTGATCACCTCGTAGATGTGGTACAGGTTGGATCCTTCGTCGGGCCAGTAGTGGTAACACTGTTTGACTCCACTCTCCACCAGAGGAGTGAGCATCACGATCACCACACAGCCGTTCTCCCACACCATCTGAAACACATGCAGAGGTGTGAACATACCATCTGAAACACACACACAAAGGTGTGAACATAAGACTACACCATCTGAAACACACACGCACAGGTGTGAACACACCATCTGAAACACACACGCAGAGGTGTGAACACACCATCTGACACACACACAGAGGTGTGAACATACCATCTGAAACACACGCAGAGGTGTGAACATACCATCTGAAACACACACGCAGAGGTGTGAACACACCATCTGAAACACACACGCAAAGGTGTGAACACACCATCTGACACACACACAGAGGTGTGAACATACCATCTGAAACACACGCAGAGGTGTGAACATACCATCTGAAACACACACGCAGAGGTGTGAACATAAGACTACACCATCTGAAACACACACGCAGAGGTGTGAACATAGGTCTACACCATCTGAAACAACGCAAAGGTGTGAACACACCATCTGAAACACACGCAGAGGTGTGAACATAAGACTACACCATCTGAAACACACACGCAGAGGTGTGAACATACCATCTGAAACACACATGCAGAGGTGTGAACATACCATCTGAAACACACGCAGAGGTGTGAACACACCATCTGAAACAACGCAAAGGTGTGAACACACCATCTGAAACACATGCAGAGGTGTGAACACACCATCTGAAACACATGCAGAGGTGTGAACACACCATCTGAAACACATGGACGACACCATCTGAGGCGCCGTCCACACAACAAAGTTTTTTGGTCAAAACGTTCGGTCAAGTTTGTATTTGTTTTTGTCTTTCGTCCACACAGAGACGCACATTTTTCAAAGGTGTGAACAAAAGACAACACTATATGAAACACACACATGCAGAGGTGTGAACATTAGACCAGTAAGACCACCCTGTGTACGTCCTCACACGGTCGGTGTGATCTTGGCGTTATGAAAGAATGAAAGAGATCATTAAAACTACTCCAGAAAATCACAGTTTTATTTCTGCCTGAATCAGAGCAGTGTTTGAGGAGGAGGAGTGGTGGAGAGGCGCTCAGTGCCTTGGCGGAGGTCCTGCGTGAACTCTTCGTTCTCAGTCTGACCCTGGTTCTCTCAGACTTTGTTCGGTCTTTTGTTCAGACGGTGGATTCTAAATTAAACCCGGTGTCACACATTTGGAGATTTAACCTTTACCAGAGCCGGGGCCACTCTCGCTTCTTTAAACTTTCGCTGTTCTTAAGTTGAGTTCGGAGTTAATTATTGAAGTTTTGGGCAGTTTTCTCCACACTCTCAGAGAAACGTGTGAACGGCTCCTCTCTCCCACGCGCCGCCGACACCCGACACCCGACACCTGGACGGCAGCACCACGACCACAGCATCATTAGTGCAGCTTAAAGGGACGGTACGATTTCCCCGAGTGTCTGAGCAGAACGTGACTCTCCACAGCGCAGATCTATCGTACGAGCCGCTCTCCGTGTCCTGTCTGCATCTGATCATGAAGAGTTTTATTATCCCAGAAGCAGGAAGTGCACTGTTATCATGCTAGCTGTTGTCTGGTCTCTGAGAGTTGTGGAAAGTGTTTATAAACTCATCGTGGTGAATAATTCGGACGCTCTGAACGCAGAAGAGACAGAAGAGAAACTGTCGGTGCCTTTAAAGATGGAATTAAAGCTGCACTGTGTAACTTTTCTGGGTAGCGTTTGTGCTCGTCTCTGTTGAAAAGTTACCGCTTTGCCTGGAATGTTCCACAATATGCATTAATAATTTTTTTTTCCCTTTCTTTGTTTCTCATCAGCAGACAGATTTGTTTTAATACAGACAGACCAAGAGTGTCTGTGATTGGCTAATCCACCTGTCAATCACACTCATCTGAACTCAGGACTCAGCGGTGACCACACTCAACTTAATTGTGTTAAAGCTTATATATTACTTATAGTGCTGTCAAGAGATTAAAAAATTTTAGAGATTAATTAAATATGATCTGTAATTAATCAATCTAATGAATCTCTTTTTCAGTCTCAGGTAAAAATTGCTGAGAAAAGCTTCAACTTGAGCTATTTTCATTAAAATTCATTATTACTTTATTGTGGCTAGGGATGGGCATGATTAGTCGATTAATTGATAATTGATCATTAAGAATTTCATCGATTACGTTCATTTTAATGGACAAACTGAATGTATGTTTGTGTGTCGTGACCAAACAGGTGTGTACATGTGTCTCTGCATCAGAAGGAGCGAGACACAAACAGTGGGTCAGTCTGTAACGAACCGAAGCACAAATGTGGATTTAACCAGGATTTGGACAAGAAATTCCACACTTTCCGTTGCGTTGGGACAAGTGTGAGTCCATGTGCACAGTGGATAAAGCAGAACATATGTTTCTGTGTCCAGTGGGAAAAAGTTTTTCCAGGTGAGAGTCGCTCAATGTCGAAAATCTGGTCACACTGACCTGTATTCACCTGAGTCATGTCTTTTAATCCAACACAAGTTGAACCACATCAGCGACACAAGAGCTGGAGTTTTATCTTCACTTAGTTTATGTAAATTAGTGATGTGGTTTTAAGTTTTGTTTCTGTGAGATTTGAACAAAACTGAATTAAACACATTATAATGTCAAACAGCTGATGTGGATCTAGAGTCGTTATGTTTATATGTCGTAAAGTTGAATTTATTTATGCAGATTAGTGCAGATAGTAATAATAATGATGATCATTTTAATATAAAAACGTTAATGATGAATCGATAATCGATCGTTAATTCTTCCGACGATCGATTAAGAAAATTTCATCGAATGCCCGTCCCTAATTGTGGCAGATCAAAAGACGGATATAGAACAAAAAAAGTGACTTTATAAAGTCATTTATTGTTTAACAAACTTTAAACTTTTATCATTATTATTACTGTTACTAATCTGCAGAAATAAATTCAACTTTACGACATATAAACATAACGACTCTAGATCCACATCAGCTGTTTGACATTATCATGTGTTTAATGCAGGTTTGCACACGTCTCACAGAAACAAAACTTAAAACCACATGACTCATTTGCATAAACTAAGTGGAGAAAAAAAAACAAAAAAAAACGCTGATGCGGTTCAACTTCTACTGGACTAAAGGCCACAGTGACTCAGTGGAATATGAGTGTTCTCTCTGTGTTCTCTCTGTGTTCTCTCTGTGTTCTCTCTGTGTTCTCTCTGTGTTCTCTCTGTGTTCTCTCTGTGTTCTCTCTGTGTTCTCTCTGTGTTCTCTCTGTGTTCTCTCTGTGTTCTCTCTGTGTTCTCTCTGTGTTCTGCTGATGGTGAGTCTGTTCTGTGTTTGTGTCGTGATGTTTTCAGATCAGACGTGTGCAGGTTTATCACAGATGCAGCGAGAACGGGAATGAAAACTACATTTCTTTGCAGGAGCGATGTGTTGTCGTCCCAACAACATAAAAACAGATTTTATAATAAGACAACTCACGTACAGAAACAGTAAAGTTGGAGATTAAAAATGAGATTAACGCGATTAAAAAACATAACGTGCTAAATATGACTGTAATTAATTCATCGCAATTAACGTGATAATTTGACACCCCTAGTTATTTATCTAAATATTTTATTTTAATCTTTATCTTAAGATTTTAAGGTTTGATTTAATTTCATTATTTTATAAAATCTTGATAAATTTGTTCTTCATTTGTTTGTTTGTTTGTCTGTGTGCTGTATGTCTTTATAATGTTCTGTTGGTGACATCACAACATTCTATACGTCAATAATATTTAACACAGACAAGCGGGAAGCTAAAATTCAGATTTTTGTTGTAATCCAGTGACATCTTGGGTCTTTTCATTCATAGAAATGATCAGATCCAATATTTGTGACTTTACCTCTTGAATATTTCATGGAAAAGAACAATGGGTCTCATTCACGAAACGTTCTTACAGACAAATTTGTACTTCAAGTCCAACTTGCACAACAAATCTTTCTCACAAACATTTTTGGCATTTACAAAACTTTCTCTTAACTGAAAATGTTCTTCTGCAAGAACAAATCCTACGAACAGTCAGGGACACTTGAGAGAATGAGTGATCCTGAAAGAAAAAAATTCTACAGTTTTAGAATATTATTACTCTGATAATGCAACGAAAAAATTCTAATTCCTCCATAATTGTAAGTGATGTATTTTCTTAAATTATTTCCTATAAACATATGTCTGTGTGACCCAGTAACATTAATGAGGAGCTTTCTCCAGGCTGCAGTGAGTCTCAGTCTGTCCCAGCCCCAATGCCTCCAATGACCCCCCTGACCAGAGCGCACCCCAACCCCAGCCCCCCTCCCTCGCTGTTTATCACAGGTCCAGGAATCACACAAAGTGCAATAAATACGTAATAAATACGTAATAAATATGTAAATAAAGCGTCCGCTTATTCCAACAAGTATCTGACTTAAATATTCCTTCATTCAGTGTGGTTCATGTGAGTTTGGACATTTGAAATCACCGCTGAAGCTGTAAAACCCCTGACCTCCTCTTCACTCTCTCCTCACACTTTCACATCCTTAAACCAAACTGATATTGGACATATTTGAACGTTCAGAGGGCGTTTCGAGCTAAATACATATTAACTTTCTACGTAAATGAAATGTAAATAAGTGCTGAGGTGTTCGTAGCTCAGTGTTGGTGAATTTGGCGCGACGGTCACTTAAGAAGGACTTTTCTTGCTTCTCTCAGCATCTTCTTAAAGTGGAAATCAGGTTATTTTTTAAAGAAATGATTCATGAGTGAAGCCCAGTGTGATCAAGATAAAAATCTGGCTCCATGTAGAAGCACGACACCATCACAATCTAGAATCTGAAATCCTCCGATGGACCACGTGTGTCCGAAGTCAAGATCTGAAGATGATTCATTATTTCAGGTTTCGTTTTTTCTCAACAAATACAAAGTAAGAGGAGTAATTTTATTTTTAGCTCCACTCCCATCGTGACCCCCCAGGCCTCGCGCCGCCGTGCCCGGACCCAGAGCACTTTTCTGGGTCAGAGTCCATCGGGGAGCTGCCCCACTGCTGCTGCTCTGTGAATATTCTGTGTAAACTGCAGCTGTAATGGAGCCATCAAACACACATTATGGTCCAGAGACGAGACGGACGGTGGACTCGGTGTGGACTCTGCAGGCTCCGCTTCAGTCACAGTTTTCTGATTTTTGTTGCATCTAATGTCGTTTCTTCGTCACAAACGGAACCTGGAGCTGTGTTTTGTCTCGTTCACACATCATCACGCTTCATGAAAACTACCGCTTTTTGGCCACGTTTACATGATGTTTTTTAATTCAAATTATTCTGAATTAATTTGGAATTAAATTATTCTCCTTCAAGTTTACATGGAAATAATAATTCCGAATTAAGGTTTACATGGAAAACACGTCAAATCGTCTTTATTTAATTGGGCACGTCTGGCGGTGGGGGAGGATCTGATTGGACAGAAACACCAACGGATTTACTTCGACCGGAAGAAAACGCACACAATCCATGTATCATTCGTTCATTAGTTTTTCAATATAAAACCAAAAATAAGAAAACAAAAAAACAACTGTTTTCTTCATTATTTGTCTCCAAAACCAAAATTTAAAAAACGGATAACGATTTGTTTTTTCAGTTTTTGATTTGAAAAATGGAAAAAACTGATATCGGCCGTTTACGTGACTTCCATGACTGTGATGCTGGATTTTGCACCGTGAACGGACTGAACCAGGACTGATCCAGGTCCGAGACCAGACCGGGACCAGAGCGGAACTGAGACCGAGACCAGTGGTCCGAGTGGTTCTGTGTCATCGTCTGTGCGCTGGTTCTGTGCGGGGAAAGTGAGAATGTTCTGTGGACTACAGGTTGAGCTGCTCCGGTCCTCCACACTCAAGAAGGCTGGAACCGAGGTGGAGCAAAGCATCAAACTGACGCTTTCACACCAACGAAAACGAACTGAACTAAGAGCTTTGGGTTCAAATGGACCAGGTCCGGGACCAGACCGGGACCAAGGTGCTACTGAGACTGGGACCAGACCAGGACCAGACCGGAGGCTCAGAGCCCATAGCAGGGTCGGACCTCGAAGCTGAGGCTCGGAGTCAAAGCTCGGAGTCCGCCCTGGTCCCAGTTTGGTCCCAGTCTGGTCTCGGACCTGGATCAGTCCTGGTTCAGTCCGTACGCAGTGCAAAAGTCCGGCATCACAGTCACAGAATCACGTAAACAGGATCTGTTTTTTCCATTTTTCATTTAAACACAAAATCGAAAACTGAAAAAACGAATCGTTATCTGTTTTTTCATTTTGGTATAATGAAGAAAACTGTTGTTTTTTTGTTTTCTTATTTTTGGTTTTATATTGAAAAATGAATGAACGAACGATACATGGATTCACACCCTTCAGCTGCTTCTGGCTTTTCTGTCATCTCGGTTTGTTGTTTCGCGTGGGGATGTACCGCTGTTCTCCCGCTAGGGCTGGTATCATTAAGAAGTTGCCCGATACGATACATACCTCGATACACAGGCCACGATACGATACATATCTCAATACACTGCACTTTCGATTCAATATGATATATTTCCAATCGATTGGATACGGTTCAATAAAAAATAAAGTCTAAAGCGTGTTTGTGACACTAAAAGTCTTTGTTAAACGATTTCTTCTTGTGCAAATTTCATATGAAACACAAACATTTTAATCATCAAAACAGTAAAAATGTCAAATGTGTCGCATAATTTAGTAAAAACACACCTAAAAATACTCTTGGTGATAGATCGATACAGTAGCCCACGATATCGATACTGTATCATCACATTAAATGATACGATATATCGATATTCCGATATTTTTGCACAGCCCTATCTCCCGCCCACACAAACTGGAGAACAGCGATCCAAAACCCAGAGTCCTGACCCAGCGGGAGCAGCTCCGGGTCGGGCCCAGAGGAGCTGGAGCGGGGAGTGACGTCAGGAACCTCGACCTGAGAAGAAGTTTTCCACGAACAAGAAAGTGCAGCTCAGTCTGTTTGTCTTCTGCTCCTCTGCATTAACAAACCGGATTTTGTTTTGTCGTGGCTCCACATACAAAATGTTTTCCTTTTTGGTTCTTCCTGTGGATCAATCCTGCCCATCACCTTCACCTTTCACTATTTTTCAATTCCGTTGAGAAGAGAAACAGTTTGAACAGAGGTTTGAGTCACACACATCTGATTCACTTTTGCATTTATGAAGTTCACAAACACATTTCTTGAGTCGTTTTCCGCTGTTTGGATCCAACAACCACAACAATTAACGATGTCTGAATCCCAAAACTAAAACATGACTGTTTCAGCCCCAGGCCTTAGTTCCAATTTGTTTGTGTGATTTTTGCCAAGTTCTCCTAATTCCTGCTGCAGGAGTCCTGGTCCGTGATTGGTGGAGCAGGTCGACGCCCACCTCACCTGCAGCCACGCCCCCTATTTAAGGAGATGACCAGCACCAGAGTGACACCAAGGCTGTTGGCCTTGGTGTCACTCTGCCATTTTGTGTTTGTGTGTGTACTACGTAGTGAAGTCGGGGGAGGGGAGGGGGCATTTGTTGTGAAGGCGGTCGCTCTAACTATAAAGCGCTGCGGGAAACACTGCGCCAATCACGGACGAGTTCACTCATGAATGTTGAAGAGTCGAGTCTCGGTGTAGCTGCACGTGTAGTGGAGGAAAATAAACACAAACAAACTGCACCAACGCACAGACCTGCACCGAACCGAACGTCCCGAACACGAAAACCTGCACCGTGACACCTCCACTACTTCGTCTACGTTCAGACTTTAGCCTGAAGTGACACAAATCAGATTTTTTTTCTCCCGTGTGCTCCTGTATCTGATCTTTTAATGACAATCTGAACCAAACGTGACCTGGAAGTTGCACAAATATTCAGCGCGGCGCTTCCAGATGTTGTGAAAAAGGTTTGAATTCTCCGCTTCTGACTCATTTCGTTTTTGAGAGATTCAGAGTCTGTACCTGCCAGAAGTCGGCGACGGTGGAGGGCAGGGGGCCCTGGGTGGCGATGTAGGCGGGGCTCCTGGGGTCGTGGTCCATCTGAAACACAAGATTTAGATTATAATTTTATATTTGACGTTTCAGAGTCAGAAAAGAGCGATTTTCTTCTCAAACAACAACTGTTCTCTTCTGTCTGACAAAACAGCTCAAGATCAGAAATGTTGTTTATCATTAGAACCTGAAACTGACTCTGATCTGGTTTAGTCCTGTTTTAGTCCTGGTTTAGACCTGGTTTAGTCCTAGACCTGGTTTAGTCCTGTTTAGTCCTGGTTTAGTCCTTGTTTAGTCCTGGTTTAGTTCTTGTTTAGTCCTGGTTTAGTCCTGTTTAGTCCTGGTTAGTCCTTGTTTTAGTCCTGGTTTAGTTCTTGTTTAGTCCTGGTTTAGTCCTAGACCTGGTTTAGTCCTTGTTTAGTCCTGGTTTATTCCTTGTTTAGTTCTGGTTTAGTTCTTGTTTAGTCCTGGTTTAGTCCTTGTTTAGTCCTTGTTTAGTTCTGGTTTAGTCTTAGTTTAGTCTTGTTTAGTTCTTGTTTAGTCCTGTTTAGTCCTTGTTTAGTCCTTAGTCCTGGTTTAGTCCTTGTTTAGTCCTTGTTTAGTTCTGGTTTAGTCCTTGTTTAGTCCTGGTTTAGTTCTTGTTTAGTCCTGGTTTAGTCTGGTTTTATTCCTTGTTTAGTCCTGGTTTAGTTCTTGTTTAGTCCTGGTTTAGTCCTTGTTTAGTCTTGTTTAGTCCTGGTTTAGTTCTTGTTTAGTCCTTTAGTCCTGTTTAGTCCTTGTTTAGTCCTTGTTTAGTCCTGGTTTAGTCTAGACCTGGTTTAGTCCTTGTTTAGTCCTGGTTTATTCCTTAGTTTAGTCCTGTTTGTTTAGTTCTTTTAGTCCTGGTTTAGTTTTGTTTAGTCCTGGTTTAGTTCTTGTTTAGTCCTGGTTTAGTTCTTGTTTAGTCCTGGTTTAGTCCTTGTTTAGTCCTTGTTTAGTCCTGGTTTAGTCCTTGTTTAGTCCTTGTTTAGTCCTGGTTTAGTCCTGGTTTATTCCTTGTTTAGTCCTGGTTTAGTCCTGGTTTAGTCCTGGTTTAGTCCTGGTTTAGTCCTTGTTTAGTCCTGGTTTAGTCCTTGTTTAGTCCTGTTTAGTCCTTAGTTTAGTCCTGTTGTTTAGTCCTGTTTAGTCCTGGTTAGTTTAGTCCTGGTTTAGTCTGGTTTAGTCCTTGTTTAGTCCTGGTTTAGTTCTTGTTTAGTCCTGTTTAGTCCTTGTTTAGTCCTGGTTTAGTCCTGGTTAGTCCTGGTTTAGTCCTTGTTTAGTCCTTGTTTAGTCCTGGTTTAGTCCTGGTTTAGTCCTGGTTTAGTCCTGTTTAGTCCTGGTTTAGTCCTGGTTTAGTCCTTGTTTAGTCCTTGTTTAGTCCTGGTTTAGTCCTGGTTTAGTCCTGGTTTAGTCCTTGTTTAGTCCTGGTTTAGTCCTGGTTTAGTCCTGTTTAGTCCTTGTTTAGTCCTTGTTTAGTCCTGGTTTAGTCCTGGTTTAGTCCTGGTTTAGTCCCGGGTCAGGCTCAGACACAGAGGTTTGTTTCTCGTGTGGGAGTCAGAAAGTGACAGACAGAACCGCTTTAATATGCAAATGAGAAAATTACTCTACGAAGAACTAAACCAGGACTAAACCAGGACTAAACCAGGACTAAACCAAGATTAAACCAGGACTAAACCAGGACTAAACCAGGACTAAACCAGGACTAAACCAGGACTAAACCAGGACTAAACCAGGACTAAACCAGGACTAAACCAGGACTAAACTTGGACTAAACCAGGACTAAACTTGGACTAAACCAGGACTAAACCAGGACTAAACCAGGACTAAACCAGGACTAAACCAGGACTAAACCAGGACTAAACCAGGACTAAACTTGGACTAAACCAGGACTAAACCAGGACTAACCAGGACTAAACCAGGACTAAACCAGGACTAAACCAGGACTAAACCAGGACTAAACTTGGACTAAACCAGGACTAAACCAGGATTGAATCAGGAGGGAAAACAGCAATAAAAACTGTACTAATTTAGAACTAAACCAGGACTAAAGCAAAACTAAAATGAGTCTAAACCAGGACTAAAGCAGAAATAAACCAGGACTAAAATGGGTCTACACCAGGACTAAACCTGGACTAAACCAGATCTGAATCAAGAGGGAAAACAGCAATAAAAACTGTACTAATTTAGAACTAAACCAGGACTAAAGCAGGACTAAAATGGGTCTAATCGAGGACTAAAACAGGACTAAAATGGGTCTAAACCAGGACTAAAACAGAACTAAATCAGGACTAAAATGGGTCTAAAGCAGGACTAAAACAGGACTAAAATGGGTCTAAACCAGGACTAAAACAGGACTAAAATGGGTCTAAACCAGGACTAAACCAGGACTGAACCAGGACTAAACCAAGACTGAACCAGGACTAAACCAGGACTAAAACAGGACTAAAATGGGTCTAAACCAGGACTAAAACAGGACTAAAAGTCTAAACCAGGACTAAAAGGACTAAAACCAGGACTAAAGCAGGACTAAAATGGGTCTAAACCAGGACTAAACCAGGACTGAACCAGGACTAAACCAGGACTAAAACAGAACTAAAATGGGTCTAAACCAGGACTAAACCAGATCTGAATCAGGAGGGAAAACAGCAATCAAAACTGTAATAATTTAGAACTAAACCAGGACTAAATCAAGATTAAACCAGGACTAAACCAAGACTAGACCAGGACTAAACCAGGCTTCAGTAGTCCCGTCTGAACCCGGTCCGGACTCACGATGGGGCTGGCGTTGATGTAGTCCGAGTTGGCCTGGCTGGTCTCGGCTCTCAGGCAGATTCTGGAGTGATCGTCTGAAAACACAAAACGTTCACGGCTCAGAAACGTTTCCCTCGCGTTTTCAAAAACAAAAACGTGAAAAAAGCGGCGGGCGGGCACTGACAGGCGACCACGGCGGGCGAGCGGTTCTTCTTGGCGTTCCCGTCCCTCAGCCCGACGGTGGCGCCGCTGGGCTCGGCCTGGTACGCGCACAGAGCCTCCCACTCCTGCTCCAGACGGTCCTTGTTCTTCAGGTGGTCCTCCATGTAGGCCTGGGGGAGACCAACGACAGGGTTAAGACCAGAAAAAAAAACACCAACAAAACACAAACCGCACTCTGGAACCTGCACGTTTCTATGGAGACGACACCGCTCCGTCTGGAAGGTTCCGCGGTGTGACTTTAAACAGATCTAAACGAGGACAGATCTAAACGAGGACTAAACAAAGACTAAACAAGGACTAAACCAGGGCTAAACTAGGACTAAACCAGGAATAAACAAGGACTAAACCAGGACTAAAAAAAAGACTAAATCGAGACTAAACCAGGACTTAAACCAGGACTAAAACCAGGACTGAACCAGGACTAAACAAGGACTAGACAAAGACTAAACCAGGACTGAACCAGGTCTAAATAAAAAGACTAAATCGAGACTAAACCAAGACTAAACCAGGACTAAAACCAGGACAAAACCAGGACTGAACCAGGACTAAAACAGAACTAAAACAGGACTAAACCAGGACTAAACAAAAGACTAAATCGAGATTAAACCAAGACTAAACCAGGACTGAACCAGGACTAAACCAGGACTAAACAAGGACTAGACAAAGACTAAACCAGGACTGAACCAGGTCTAAATAAAAAAAAGACTAAATCGAGACTAAACCAAGACTAAACCAGGACTGAACCAGGACTAAAAAAAGACAAAATCGAGACTAAACCAAGACTAAACCAGGACTTAAACCAGGACTAAAACCAGGACTGAACCAGGACTAAACCAGGACTAAAACCAGGACTGAACCAGGACTAAAACAGGACTAAACAAGGACTAGACAAAGACTAAACCAGGACTGAACCAGGTCTAAAAAAAAGACTAAATCGAGACTAAACCAGGACTGAACCAGGTCTAAACAAGGACTAAACCAGGACTAAACAAGGACTAAAAAAAAAGACTAAATCGAGACTAAACCAAGACTAAACCAGGACTGAACAAGGACTAAACCAGGACTAAAAAAGGACTAAAAAAAAAGACTAAATCGAGACTAAACCAAGACTAAACCAGGACTGAACCAGGACTAAACCAGGACTAAACAAGGACTAGACAAAGACTAAACCAGGACTGAACCAGGTCTAAAAAAAAGACTAAATCGAGACTAAACCAGGACCGAACCAGGTCTAAAACCAGGACTGAACCAGGACTAAAAAAAAAGACTAAATTGAGACTAAACCAAAACTAAACCAGGACTCAACTAGGACTAAAAAATGGCTAAACCAGGACAAAAAAATACTAAATTGAGACTAAACCAAGACTAAATTAGGACTAAAACCAGGACTAAACCAGGACTATCACTCACACAATGCACCTTTAGTCTTATATTTGTGAGTCTCTGCTTTGCGACACCACGAGGCCAAGTCACAGGTCGGGTCTGTGGAGCGGCGAGGTGTTTCGAGGTATTAAAATATCTGTGACCGTGAGCAGATTTCACATGTTTGACGCTCAGTTTAGAAAAAAAAAAAAAAGAGGAACACAGAACGGTGGGCGGGGACAGGGGGGCGGGACAGGGGGGGGGACGGGGACAGGGGGCGGGGACAGATTTAAAGCCGTACAGCGGGACATTTTAGGAATCGAGAGGAGACTTTGACACTTGTCTCTGTTCTTGTGTAAAGTCAGAGTGAGTTCAGCACCACGGACAGCTCCACAGACTCTCCAGGACTAAACCAAGACTAAAACAGGACTAGATCAGGACCAAACCAGAACTAAACCAGGACTAAACCAGGAGTAAACCAGGAATAAAAAATAACTAAATTAGGATTTAACCAGGGACTAAAACTGGGACTAAAACCAAGACTAAACCAAAATTAAACCAGGACTAAACTAGGATTAAAAAAGGACTAAACCAGAACTAAAACAAGGACTAAACAAGGACTAAACCAGGACTAAAGTAGGATTTAACAAGGACCAAACCAGGACTAAACCAGGACAAAATTAGGACTGAACCAGGACTAAACCAGGACTAAGTTAGGACTAAAAAAGGACCAAATCAGGATAAAACCAAAACTAAACCAGGAATAAATCAGGATTAAACCAGGGCTAAACCAAGACTAAAACACGACTAAACCAAGACTAAAACAGGACTAGATCGGGGCTAAATCAGGACTAAATCAGGACCAAACCAGAACTAACCCAGGACTAAACCAGGATTAAACCAGGAATAAAAAATGACTAAATTAGGATTTAACCAGGGACTAAAACTGGGACTAAAACCAAGACTAAACCAAAATTAAACCAGGACTAAACTAGGATTAAAAAAGGACTAAACCAGAACTAAATCAGGAATAAAAAAGGACTAAATCAGGACTAAAACAAGGACTAAACCAGGACTAAATTAGGACTTAACAAGGACTAAACCAGGACTAAAACCAAGACTAAACCAAACTCAAACCAGGACAAAACCAGGATTAAATTAGAACTAAACCAGGATCAAAAAAGGGCTAAACCAGAACTAAAACCAGGACTGAACCAAAATTAAATCAGGACTAAACCAGAACTAAACCAGGAATAAATCAGGATTAAACCAGGACTAAACCAAGACTAAATTAGGACTAAAAAAGGACTAAAAAATGACCAAATCAGGATAAAACCAGGAATAAATCAGGAATAAAAAAGTACAAAATCAGGACTAAAACAAGACTAAACAAGGACTAAACCAGGATTAAATCAGGATTAAACCAGAAATAAAAAATGACAAAATTAGGATTTAACCAGGACTAAAACCAAGACTAAACCAAACTCAAACCAGGACAAAACTAGGACTAAATCAGGACAAAACCAGGATTAAATTAGAACTAAACCAGGATCAAACCAGGGCTAAACTAGGACTAAATCAGGACTAAACCAGGACTAAACCAAGACTAAATTAGGACTAAAAAAGGACCAAATCAGGATAAAACCAGGACTAAACCAGGAATAAATCAGGATTAAACCAGGGCTAAACCAAGACTAAACCGGAACTAAACCAGAACTAAACCAGGACTAAACCAAGACTAAATTAGGACTAAAAAGGGACCAAATCAGGACCAAACCAGGCCTAAAGCAGCACTGAACTAGGACTAAACCAGGACTAAATCAGAAATAGAGCATGACAAAACTACGGTGCATTCACATTTGTACATGTCGCATCTAAACTGGGACTAAACCAGGAAAAGACAAAAAACTGGACCTAAACTAGACCAGGATTAAAGCAGGACCAAACCAGGACCAAACCAGGGTTAGACCAGGTCAGGTTCTTGTTTGGTCCCTGTGGTCTCCCTCAGAGTCTGATCTGGATGAAGAGGATCATCTTCTGAAGCTCTCGGATCTGAGGCTTTATTAACCTGAGTGCTCCAATCCGCTTAGACCCAACCCAGAACTAAACCTGGACCAAGACACGGACCCCAGAGACCGACCAAGAAGACTAAACCTAAGGACCCCAGAGACCGACCAAGACCAGGACTAAACCCCAAGACACGGACCCCAGAGACCGACCAAGACCAGGACTAAACCTGGACCAAGACACGGACTGACCCCAGGGACCAACCAAGACCGGGACTAAACCTGGACCAAGACACCAACTCCAGAGACCGACCAAGACCGGGAATAAACCTGGACCAAGACATGGACCCCAGGGACCGACCAAGACCGGGACTAAACCTGGACCAAGACACGGACCCCAGGGACCGACCAAGACCGGGACTAAACCTGGACCAAGACTCCGGACCAAGACCGGGAAAAACCGGACCAAACGGACCCCAGGGACCGACCAAGACCGGGACTAAACCTGGACCAAGACATGGACCCCAGGGACCGACCAAGACCGGGACTAAACCTGGACCAAACACGGACCCCAGGGACCGACCAAGACCGGGACTAAACTTGGACCAAGACATGGACCCCAGGGACCGACCAAGACCGGGACTAAACCTGGACCAAGACACGGACCCCAGGGACCGACCAAGACCGGGACTAAACCTGGACCAAGACATGGACCCCAGGGACCGACCAAGACCGGGACTAAACCTGGACCAAGATACCAACTCCAGAGACCGACCAAGACCGGGAATAAACCTGGACCAAGACATGGACCCCAGGGACCGACCAAGACGGGACTAAACCTGGACCAAGACACGGACCCCAGGGACCGACCAAGACCGGGACTAAACCTGGACCAAAACACGGACCCCAGGGACCGACCAAGACCGGACTAAACGGACAAGACTGGACCCCAGGACCGACCAAACCGGGACTAACCTGGACCAAGACACGGACCCAGGGACCGACCAGACCGGGACTAAACCTGGACCAAGACTGGACCCCAGGGACCGACCAAGACCGGGACTAAACCTGGACCAAGACACCAACTCCAGAGACCGACCAAGACCGGGACTAAACCTGGACCAAGACATGGACCCCAGGGACCGACCAAGACCGGGACTAAACCTGGACCAAGACACGGACCCCAGGGACCGACCAAGACCGGGACTAAACCTGGACCAAAACACGGACCCCAGGGACCGACCAAGACCGGGACTAAACTTGGACCAAGACATGGACCCCAGGGACCGACCAAGACGGGACTAAACCTGGACCAAGACACGGACCCCAGGGACCGACCAAGACCGGGACTAAACCTGGACCAAGACATGGACCCCAGGGACCGACCAAGACCGGGTCTAAACCTGGACCAAGACACAAACCACAGGGACCAACCACGGCTCTAAGACCAGGACTAAACCTGGACCAGAACTGGACTAAACTTTGACCTAGACACCCGACGTTGCCATTTTCCAGCCCTGAATTCAGCAGATTTGTTTCTTTTATTTATATCTAAGTTGTTTTAGATGAACATTGAGATTTAAAACGTCAAAATTATGACAAAATCAAAACATCACAGACACAAAAGCACAGGAAACGATAATAAGAGAGTAAACTTGTGTAAACTTGTGTGTGTAAAGTCGTGTGTAACGTCGTGTGCGTAAAGTCATGTGTGTAAACTTGTGTGTGTAAACTCGTGTGTGTAAAGTCGTGTGTATAAAGTCGTGTGTGTAAACTGGTCTGTGTAAAGTCGTGTGTAAACTTGTGTGTAAACGCGTGTGTGTAAGGTGTGTGTGTAAAGTCGTATGTGTAAAGATGTGTGTGTAAAGTCGTGTATAAAGTTGTGTGTACAGTCGTGTGTGTAAAGATGTCTGTGTAAAGTCGTGTGTAAAGTCGCATGTGTAAAGTCGTGTGTGTAAAGTCGCATGTGTAAAGTCGTGTGTAAAGTTGTGTGTGTAAACTCGTGTGCGTAAAGTCGCATGTGTAAAGGTGCGTGTAAACTTGTGTGTGTAAAGTCGTGTGTATAAACTCGTGTGTGTAAAGTCGTGTGTATAGTCGTGTGTGTAAAGTGTGTGTAAAGTCGTGCGTGTAAACTCGCATGTGTAAAGTCATGTGTGTAAAGTCATGTGTGTAAAGTCGCGTGTGTAAAGTCGTGTGTAAAGTTGTGTGTAAAGTTGTGTGTGTAAACTCGTGTGCGTAAAGTCGCATGTGTAAAGGTGCGCGTAAACTTGTGTGTGTAAAGTCGTGTGTATAAATAAACGTGTAAAGTCGTGTGTGTAAAGTCGTGCGTGTAAAGTCGTGTGTGTAAAGTCGTGTGTGTAAAGTCGCGTGTGTGTAAAGGCCCGTGTGTACCAGGATCATGTGTCCGGTGGAGATGTCCAGGCTGGAGGCGGCCGGCTCTTCGCTCCACGAGGACAGACTGGCTCGACCCGAGGGGCTGCTCAGAGCCGCCGCTCCGTCCGAAAACTGAGACGAGACGCTGTTGATGCGAGACGACAGCGGCTCCGAGCGCTCGGGGGGTTTGACCGACATGCGCTGGCGGCACAGCTCCTGCAGGGGGCGACACACAGACACAGGGTCAGTCTGACACTCATGTTTCTGAAAACATGTAATTAAGTAAAAGTATCTTTGCTTTACTTAATTCCTACTAGTCTTGGGCAGTATCCAAATTTTTATACAGTTAAACCTTTTCAGGATTTTAGTGGAGTTTACAGTATCACCGTATTACCAAAATGTTTTAGTACGACTTTAGTAAATTACAAAGCCGCACCACTGTATGATCTGAGTGTACGACCCGCAGACTTATAATCTCTGAAAAGTTTAACATGAACCATCTCCAACACGACTGGTTCAGTCCTGTTTTAGTCCTGGTTTGGTCCTTGTTTAGTCCTTTTTTAGTGCTTGTTTAGTCCTGGTCCAGTCCTGTTTTAGTCCTTGTTTAGTCCTTGTTTCGTCCGTGTTTAATCCGTGTTTAGTCCTTGTTTAGTCCTGGTCCAGTCCTGTTTCAGTCCTGGTTTAGTTCTTGTTTAGTCCTTGTTTAGTCCTGTTTCAGTCCTAGTTTAGTCCTTGTTTAGTCCGTGTTTAGTTCTTGTTTAGTCCTTGTTTAGTCCTGTTTCAGTCCTTGTTTAGACCTTGTTTAGTAATTGATTAATCCTGTTTTAGTCTGTTTTTAGTCCTTGTTTAGTCCGTGTTTAGTCCTGTTTTAGTCCATATTTAGTCCTTGTTTAGTCCTGGTCCAGTTTTAGTCCTGGATCAGTCCTCGTTTAAATCCTGATTTAGTCCTGTTTCAGTCCTTGTTTAGACCTGTTTCAATCCTTGTTTAGTCCTTGTTTAGTCCTGGTCCAGTCCTGTTTTAGTCCTGGTTTAGTCCTTGTTCAGTCCTGTTTCAATCCTTGTTTAGTCCTTGTTTAGTATTGTTTTAGTTCTAGTTTAGTCCTGGTCCAGTCCTGTTTCAGTCCTGGTTTAGTTCTTGTTTAGTCCTTGTTTAGTCCTGTTTCAGTCCTAGTTTAGTCCTTGTTTAGTCCGTGTTTAGTTCTTGTTTAGTCCTTGTTTAGTCCTGTTTCAGTCCTTGTTTAGACCTTGTTTAGTAATTGATTAATCCTGTTTTAGTCTGTGTTTAGTCCTTGTTTAGTCTGTGTTTAGTCCTGTTTTAGTCCATGTTTAGTCCTTGTTTAGTCCTGGTCCAGTTTTAGTCCTGGATCAGTCCTCGTTTAAATCTTGATTTAGTCCTGGTTCAGTCCTTGTTTAGTCCTGGTTTAGTCCTTGTTTAGTCCTTGTTTAGTCCTGTCCTGTTTCAGTCCTTGTTTAGTCCTTGTTTAGTCCTGGTCCAGTCCTGTTTTGGTCCTGTTTTAGTCCTGTTTCAGTCCTGGTTTAGTCCTGGTTTAGTCCTTGTTCAGTCCTGTTTCAATCCTTGTTTAGTCCTTGTTTAGTATTGTTTTAGTTCTAGTTTAGTCCTGGTTTAGTCCTGTTTCAGTCCTGTTTTAGTCTGTCTTTAGTCCTTGTTTAGTCCGTGTTTAGTCCTGTTTTAGTCCATGTTTAGTCCTTGTTTAGTCCTGGTCCAGTTTTAGTCCTGGATCAGTCCTCGTTTAAATCCTGATTTAGTCTTGGTTCAGTCCTGGTTTAGTCCTGTTTAGTCCTTGTTTAGTCCTTGTTTAGTCCTGGTCCAGTCCTGTTTTGGTCCTGTTTTAGTCCTGTTTCAGTCCTGGTTTAGTCCTGGTTAGTCCTTGTTTCAGTCCTGTTTTCAATCCTGTTTAGTCCTTGTTTAGTCTTGTTTTAGTCCTGGTTTAGTCCTGGTCCAGTCCTGTTTTAGTCCTGGTTTGGTCTTCAGCTGTACCCGGTCTCTCGTCGTGGGCGCTGTGCCAGGCTCTGGACTTGGCACGGTGCCCCCCCCCCTTGTTAAAGTGGGCGGGGCGAGCGAGCCGAGACAATAGTCCGGAGAGAAAGAGAGGCGTGTGGAGGACATGAACCTGTGACCGCGCCGTTCAGACCCACGCACCGACCGCCGCTCCACCACAAAGCCCGGGCTAATGAGGCGCTCGTTAAGACCCTCGTTAGGACCATAATTAAGACACGACGTCTGTTTCTCCTGCGTCAAACAAACACTGCACCAGACACTTTCACAACCACTCAACCACAACTCAACAGCGACGGTTCTGAGCCTCATTTAAACTGTTCCTCTTCAGCCCACGGAGACGGAGAAAGTGGAGTTTGTTTGCAGAGGAAGTCCAAAAAGACGTATTGAAATATCCTCAAATTTTCACAGAAAGTACAGAAACAGATCAGGGTTTTATTTTTGTCCTGTTGTCTTCGTCAGACCGGGACCTGCAGCTCTGGGGCGGTTTGACCCGAGTGTGAAGCGTCTGGGGTGAAGATCGGTTCCTCCAAAATCCGAGGTCGTTGGTTCTCGAGCGGAAAAAAAGGCGTCTTGTCGTCTCCGGGCGGGTGGAGAATCTCTGCCTCAAGTGGAGGAGTTCAAGTGTGTCTTGTCGGGGTCTTGTTCTGGAGTGAGGGGAGGATGGAGCGTGAGATTGACAGGTGGACAGGTGGACAGGTGGACAGGTGGACAGGTGCAGCGTGGGCAGTGATGCGGTCGTTGTATCGGACCGTTGTGGTGAAGAGGAGCTGAGTCTGGATTTAGCGTCAGTCTCTGTTCCTCACCTCTGGTCATGAGCTCTGGGTAAAGACTGAAAGGACCAGATCCACGATACAAATGACACAAATGAGTTTCCTCCACAGGGCGTCCGGGCGTCTCCCTTAGAGACAGAGTGAGGAGCTCGGAGTAGAGCCGCTGCTCCTCCACGTGGAGAGGAGCGTCTGAGGGGAGGACATGTGTTCTGATCTTATGTCCCACTGGGAGGAGGCCCCACAAAAGACCCAGGACACACTGGAGGAACTATGTCTCCGGTAGAGTAAGTAAGTCTTTATTTATAAAGCACTTTTCACAGACATTTTCTGTCCCCTATGACACTTTACACAGCATTATTCATCATGATTCACACAGCATTTTTCATTCACTCTATGGTCATGGTAAGATACTATTGTAGCCAGAGCTGCCCTGGGGCACACTGACAGAAACTGCCATGCCACTCGGCGCCATCAGTCCCTCCGACCACCACCATCACTCACACACACCACTTTCATACTAGGCAATGTGGGTGAAGTGTCTTGCTTAAGGACACAATGATTGAATTGACTGTATTTAATTGACCTTGACTATCAACTTTTCCAGAGACCTGTAACATGTTCTGTGTTGATGGGGGAAACCAGAGCACCCAGAGGAAACCCATCCAGACACGGGGAGAAACATGCAAACTCCACACAGAAAGGCCCGGGCGACCCGGGGATCGAACCCAGAACCTTCTTGCTGTGTGTCAGTGGGCGGGGTTAGGTGTCAGTGGGCGGGGTTAAGTGTAGGTGTCAGGATGAGGTTAGGTTGTTGGACAGGTTAGGTGAGTGGGCAGGGTTAGGCATCAGTGGGCGGGGTTAGGTGTCAGCGGGCAGGGTTAGGTGTTATTAGGTGTGAGTGGGCAGGGTTAGGCATCAGTGGGCGGGGTTAGGTGTCAGTGGGCAGGGTTAGGTGTCAGCGGATGAGGTTAGGTGTCAGTGGACAGGGTTAGGTGTTATTAGGTGTGAGTGGGTGGGATTAGGTGTGAGTGGGCGGGGTTAGGTGTGAGTGGATAGTGGTGCGGGGTTAGGTGTTATTAGGTGTGAGGGGCGTGGGCGGGGTTAGGCATCAGCAGGTGGGGTTAGGTGTGAGTGGGCGGGGTTAGGTGTCATTAGGTGTCAGTGGGCAGTGTTAGGTGTCAGTGGGCGGGGTTGGGCGGGGTCAGGTGGCGTTACCTGGTAGGTGGAGGTGGGGTCAGGTGGTGTTACCTGGTAGGTGGAGGCGGGTCAGGTGGCGTTACCTGGTAGGTGGAGGGTCAGGTGGGTCTGTAGGTGGCAGGTGGTGTTCTGGTAGGTGGAGGCGGGGTCAGGTGGTGTTACCTGGTAGGTGGAGCTGGGGTCAGGTGGTGTTACCTGGTAGGTGGAGGCGGGGTCAGGTGGTGTTACCTGGTAGGTGGAGGCGGGGTCAGGTGGTGTTACCTGGTAGGTGGAGGCGGGGTCAGGTGGCGTTACCTGGTAGGTGGAGGCGGGGGGGGTGTGTTACCTGGTAGTGGGGGGGGTGGGGTGGGGTCAGGTGTGTTACTGGTAGGTGGAGGCGGGGTCAGTGTGTTACCTGGTAGGTGGAGGCGGGGTCAGGTGGTGTTACCTGGTAGGTGGAGGCGGGGTCAGGTGGTGTTACCTGGTAGGTGGAGGTGGGGTCGGCGCTCTCCTGGCCCAGCGTGCTGAGCTTCTCCTTGAGCTTGTGGTGGGAGCGGTTCCTCAGGCAGTAAATCACCGTGGAGCCCAGAAGAACCAGGACGATGCACAGAATGGAGACGACCGTCAGGATCAGGAACTTGGTGGACTCGGCCTGACTGTACTTCGTCGGGATCTGGTTTATCTGAGTCTC